ATACCTTCATAATTTCAATTTCTAATTTTAGAACATTAAGGTTATATAAATCATGTTCAACTGAGATTTAAGGACTTACTACATACCTACAGAGCAAGTCAGCAACTGAAATTTAACAGTCATTATTAAAATGCGATTAGAATGGTTTGCACAGACAGTTTGTGAAATTGTTTCTCTCCTGCCCCTCAGATGGCAGATAAATTAACCGCTTTCAGTTCATGAAGAAGACAAGCTCACAGTGTCACCCCTTTACAGAAGAACCATTTAATTTGAGAAGTCACAATGGAAATAGATCTTGTGTAGATTTTAACTCACCTCCACCACAGTTCCTAGGTCTTTGACGTAGTCTTTCTCCGTTTGCACTAGTTCATTTAAAACGAACCTAGAATTCAAAAGATTTGCATGTTGTAGTGGTCAGGGTAAGCACCTGTCAGGTAGAGATTTTTTAGGGATTATTTTCGTTAGAGGAGGGCAACACCAGGGCAATTCAGGTTCATAGGGATTCTTGTTTTGTGGGCCAACTGGGATGCACTAAACATCCCAATGACATGGGCTGAACAAAATTAGGTTAGTTCCAAGCAGCAGAGGCAGTGAGAAGAGGCTAGATGCCTCAAAATACTTTTCTACTTTAAAGGCAGTTCTGCTGTGGGACTAACACTGACCAGGACTGCTGCTATACTTTTGGAATTTTCTTGACCTTCACTCTGGTAAAACGACATTTAGTTTTTTATAGATAACTGTCAGGTAGCCTTGTCATAGATCTGGAATGTGGAGGGGTATGCTCCTTCTCAGCTCTTTCCTGCCCAGCTACTGTGTGCTATCTTACGCTTGACCTTGCAGATGTTCCAGCTACCGCTTCCACGGCTGGGAAAGTTAACAGCTTCTGTACTATGCCCGCTTGCTTAGCCGCGCACGCGAACTATATCCATTGGCTTATGCTTACAGGGGGGGGATGTTTGATTTCACTATAAGTCAGAGGCCCTAATACTGAGGGCTATTCCTGACACAATCTGTACACGTGTTCTTTAGTACTGGAACCACTCATAAACAGTTATCCTCTTATGAAGCCCTGTGTGGTGTGACCTGACTAAGGAGCCTGACAATAACACCAAGCAGCCAGTGCTGTCATCAATCTACCAATGACCCTACAGAAATCACATTCTCCAAAGCTTGCAAGAAGGAAACCATAATCGCAAGCATGCTCCCTTATACTCCTTTTAATCAGAGCTGCCTATATTCTAAAGGTGTATGGCTTAAGGGTGGTTATTTGGTGCTAGGCCCAGAGTTCAGGTTTCTCAGAACCTCAGCTTACATTTCCCTTTTTAAAAGTTTCCAGGTCTTAAGGCTATGAATGTATAATAAGAAGGGTTTAAAAAGCACAAAAGACAGGAGGAGGAGTGAATAGGGCTTAACTTTTGAAGGGGTCAAGGGCCTTTAGGGGTCTGCAAACCACCTTGGCTCTGGTTACCAGCAATGCAATATCTGCAAATTTTGTTTTTTTATGATCTATGAAGATGATATAATTCAGCTTTTCGGACTTCCGGTCTATGGCGACACGCAGGCAGACACATCTCCCAGATGCCCCGGGGATGCAAACTGCACACCAGTCGCGACCCCCCCCCCGGAGCCTTGGTAAAAGGCTTCTAGCCAGGGGGCTTTTGAGGAGTGACCTCTTTGACGGCGCGATGCCGGAGAATTGAGGCGCTCCTCCACCCCGAAGGTCCTGCCGCTGAGTGACCGTATGGTACGAGTGCTGCTGACTGGGACAAGCGTTGGAGATTGGGCGAAAAAAAACGATGCCAAGCAAGGCCGGTTGGCCAACAACAAACTGTGAGTCGTGTTGAAGCGAGCATGGAGATATAAAAAGAAAGCTGCCCCCTTAAAAAGCGATGGGAAGCGAGCGGGGGAGGGGCCCCTCCCAAATGCATAAGCGAAAACGCGGAATAAAGAGGGGGAAGTGGAAAAATAAGCATTTTAAACTGTTTTAAGAGACTTACCACAGCGCAGACAAGCATTTGGGCGAATTTCAGAGACTTTAGCAACTTTCTGTTAAGTAAACAAATGGCGGGGAAGAAACCGGAAGAAGAAAAACTTTTGAAAGAGAAAGTGGGTAGTCCTCGAACGGAAGAGATCACTTAGCTCTCAAAAATGTTGGCTGATTCCTTGCGCCCTCTGCTGGATGAGATGACTAGCATTAAGCAACAACTGTCAACAATTGGTCAAAGTTTGGCTTCTCAGCAGCTTCAATTGACCCAATCTTTAAAAGCAACAGAGCAAATGGGGGAGAAGGTTAAGGAAATGGACGCCAACACTAAAAAAGTTAAGAAAAAGGTGCAGAAGCTGGAAATGAAGCAAGCCACGGAAGAGTCACAACTTTTGCAGCTGCAAATGGAGAAAGCCAATTTGGTCCTACGGTTTCAAGGGATCCCGGAAATTAAAGGAGAGAATCTGAAACAACGGCTGAGTGAAGCAATAGCCCCAATGACAGATTTGACAGCGGAATACCTCTATAGCGAGATGGATGTGGTCTACCGGTCCTATTCCTTATACATCAAGAAAAATGATCTGCCTGGGGAAATAGTAGTCAGATTTTCGAAGAGACATGTGAGAGACTCTATTTTGAAAGCAACTATGGGAACTCCCTTGAAAATTGGGGACAACAACACCAGGATTTTAAAAGACATTCCATTTGACATAAGACAGAAGAGAAATAGTTTGACTCTGTTCTTAAGGCACGTGAATTTCTGCGATTACAGCTCGGGGAACTGGCTGAGGACGAGAAGGAAGAAGAAGAAAGCAAATCTGACGGCGAGTTAGGCTTGGGGTCTTCAGACGAGGACTCACCCTCTGAAAAGACGAGGACTCACCGCCCCCAAAAGTTCATACAAACTGAGGATTAGAAAAGAGAAGAATAAATAGTGGCTGAAGGACTCTGATTTGTGCCTGAAAACTCTGAAATATTTTGGGATGTTCGGGGTGGGGGGTTCATTAAACAGTTAAATGAATAGTTAAGAGATAATCAATCTAGCATAAGTGACTATGTTCGTTGTTATATTAGCTTTTTAAAGTAACATTAAGCTGATGTACTGATCTCCTACTCTTGGGTTTTTAGTTATTAGTGGGTCTTTTTTCTAGTTCATTTTTCTAGTTCATTTGGTCCCCCTTCCCAAACTCTTGGCTGTAGTTTGTAGTGTGTAAAAAATCAATAAAAATTCCCCTTAGGGGGACCAAAAAAAAGAAAAGAATTCAGCTTTTCTATGTGTAGAAATTGTATTCTCTTGGTACACAACTTTTGGGTGAGTGCAAATGATGCATTGCTTCGTATGCAAGACCTCCTAATGCATGGATTACCCAAAGAATATTTTAAGGACTTGGTAGGCTAGAGAATTAAAAAGAGCACTACACAGAAAGAGACAAGAATGGACACTGAACAGCTTAAATCCAAGCTCTGTTTAAGCATATCGATCAATTCAGCCACCAGCTGCCCCATCCCAATGTACAGTTGGACATAGGGCGACACATTAACGTTGCTTCTTAGGCTGTGCGGATCTGCTTCGGGCATGAGAAAAGTGCAAGACCCCAAGTGAATTCCTAAAGAAAGTACCTCAAAGGACAACCTTATTTGCCAACTGTGTCAGAGAGTCATCTGTTTCTGTACAGTACAAAACAGATGACTGAGGTAAGAATGTTCTAGTGGAACAACTGGTATAAAGTAAGCTCTGTATAGGGTGCCCTGACCTGGATAAAGCAGGCTAGACCAATCTCATCCTGTCTTAGAAGCTAAGCAGGGTTGGCCCTGGTCATTATTTGGATGGGAGACTACCAAAGAAGACCAAGGTGGCACAGAGGCAAGTAATGGCAAGCAACTTCTGAATGTCTCTTGCCTGTTGAAAACACTACAGGGTCACTGTAAGTCGGCTGCAACTTGATGGCACTTTCCTCCACCACCATGTACAGGATAGTAGTTACATGTGGGACTAGGACTGGGAAAACCTAGATTCAAATTCTCCTCCAGAATGTAGATCTCTGGAGGAGATCGCTCAGCCTAATGTACCTCACAGGGTTCCTTGTATACAATATCCACAGTGTTTTCTCAAATGGAAATAACTGGTGGAGACAGATAACATTTTAAGAGCTCTGGAGTCTCACTGCATTCAGTACAAGTTCGGAAAAACAAGCATGTTTTCAGTATAGTTCAGTTTGAACTGGAAAGGTTAGCAGCTACAACACATTCCCATAGCTGCCAAAAACATACATATTCCTGGCATAGTTTAGCAACCCATTTATGACTTACAAAAAATATAAGGTGGAAGACAAAAACACACGCCTGTGTGTTTTCTATCTGAAAAATGCTTTAAGTCAGATAAGCCAGCTGAAGTATAAGAAAGAGGCAAGACTGATGGCTGGACCAAGATCTGACTTGGAGACTTCCTGGGCAGGATCTCCAAAGGAAATGGCTGCACCTCAGAGCTCCTGCTGTGACAGGGGGAAATCCACAGACATCTGGGCCCTACACTTGTACGTGACCCATACACATTCATATGGGGCAGCCTCCTTGATCTAGGGAATGACAGATTTTTTGTATCTGACAGGCTAGAAGAAACCTCTAGAGATCTACTTGGACAACAAGTCATGACACTGGGATCATAACATAGCTGAAAAGTCCCCCATGTCCCACTGTTAAAGCATAGAATAGTTACAAGAATGGGCACAGTAATAAGACCAATGAAAAAAGAAAAAAGAACTGTGACAATTTAGTGGCCAATGAAAAAAGAAAAAAACTGTGACAATTTAGCGCTTGGTACTATATTCATAAATCATAATATACAATAACAGAAAATAAGTAATATATATAGTGAATGTAGACGGTGATCTCCGGAATGGTTCAGCAATTATAGCCCATTGCATAGCTTTATGATGAAGTGAATCAACAGTATATTTTCAATACGTCACAAAGAGAAATGTATTGTTGAAAGACAGTTTATGTACACATCCTTGTTCAGAAGATCATTGTCGAAACGGCACACCATTCTGGAGACCACCGTCTACATTCACTATATATATTACTTATTTTCTGTTATTGTATATTATGATTTATGAATATAGTACCAAGTGCTAAATTGTCACAGTTCTTTTTTCTTTTTTCATTGGCCACTGTTAAAGCATTACATCTGTTCACCTAGTGCTGCATCCTCAGTGTATACTAAAAGCAGAACACACATATAGTAACATCTTATTTGCCTTAAATTCACTCATAATGACATTTTTCCATATGAAGAGACTTTTTAGATAACTTACATCCTGCCAGTATACTAAAAGCAGAACACACATATAGTAGCATCTTATTAGCCTTAAATTCACTCATAATGACATTTTCCCATATGACGAGATTTTTTTAGATAACTTACATCCTGCCTCGCATAGCTTTGGCTTTTTGTTCCTCTTCAAGGTTTCTTGAAGGAGGAGTTGAAGGTGTCACAGTTTCGTTTAAACATCCAGTAGGATCTTTTAAGCTTCCTCGGTAGGAGCCTCCTTCTAATGTCTTAAAAGTTAAAAACAAAATCACAACAGATTAAACAGAAAAACAAGTTATGGACCACAGAGCTACCTTAGAATCACAGAATCATAGAGTTGGAAGGGACCTCCAGGGTCATCTAGTCCAACCCCTTCACAATGCAGGAAATTCACAAATACCTCCCCCTCCCACACACACCCAGTGACCGCTGTTCCATGCCCAGAAGATGACAAAAAACCTCCAGGATCTCCAGCCAAACTGGCCTAGAGAACAATTGCTTCTTGACCCCAAAGTGGCAATCAGCAATTCCCTGGAGGTATAAGAAAGGGCCACAAGAACTAAGCACTAATGCAACCCTTCCTGCCCTCCCTCTCATGATCTGCCTAAGTTCACAGGGTAATGGGGATAATCAGTAAAATTACTCTCCCCCCACCCAGTCACATTTAATTACGGTATGTTCCAGGCTTATTGGAGTATCATAGAGCAGGAGTCATATTCGGTATAGCAGAGCTCACATTTTGAAAACATTTCATTTATTTTCAACTACGATAGTATTTCCTCAGAATATTCTGAAGACCACCTAAATACGATCAACAGGTAAAAGTTCTCTTCTATGAACTTCTTTCAGGCAGAGAGTCAGTTTGGTGCAGTGGTTAAGAGTGGCAGACTTTAATCTGGCGCACCATGTTTGATTCCCCACTCCTCCACTGGAAGCCAGCTGGATGACCCTGGATCAGTCACAGTTCTCTCAGAACTCTCTCAGCCCACCATAAGCCTAGCTTGCCACAAAAGAGCTAGAGCTTCTGGCTGCCAGACAATCCTAGCATCTCCTGGCTATACTACACACCCTGCCATACGATAATTATTAATTCTTGCAGGCTGGTTCCATTCATTTGTGCATCTCTGATCTGCCCTGCAACAGTTTTAGACAGATGAAGGCTGCTTCCCCATGGAGGCATGAAAAGGGTGGCCCTGCAATAGAAGCGAGCAGAGACGATATCTACCTGCCTTGTCCCTGTACTGCTCTCTCCTGATGCCACCCGACCTCTTTCTCCCTGTGCTGGCGTACAATTTGAAGGCAGAGCTGAACATCTGCACAGCCTGCGGCCACCCAATATTAGCCTGTTTAAAACAATGGTTGCTTCTGTTTGACTGGGTGATTTGAACAGGGAAGTCCTGGGAGCCTCATGAATCATGCTCAGTACCAGCATGACATCATGTGGAAGCTCCCCTCAAATCAGTGTTCCCTCTGAGCCATTCCGTAGAAAAAGAGGTGCAGGAGCTCATTAGCACAACTCATTAGCATAACTTATTTGCATATGCCACACCCCCTGATATCACCGGGAGTGTGTCAGAAGGCAACACCCACCGCGTAGGCTCCACTGGACTGCTCTGGATTGCTAGCTATTGGGGGGGGGGATGTGCAGATCTGCCCTCGCAGAGGAGGGAGAGCTTGTACCTGAATAAAACTTGGTCTTAAAGGTGCCAGTGGACTGTTTTGGGCCGGGGGGCCGGGAGGACTCTGCAATTTACCTGGGTGCTTCTTGCTCTGACTGAGGGCTGCTGGGAGCAGGGGGTGGGGCTTGTTGCATGTGCCCGCCCCCTGGGCTCTTTACTGCCGGAGCTCCGCTCCTGTACGCTCCTGCAGGAAATGACCCCTCCTCTAAGCTGAGTTAGTGTGAGCTAGCTCACAGTTTGTTTGTTTTTTTAGCTAGCTCACAGTTTTTTAGCCTCACACTTTTTTGTCTTAGCTCAGGAAGGATGGCTCCAGAGCCAACTAATTTATGCAGCAGCCAAATCGTTCGCTCACAGCTTTAATGCCAGTAGCTCACAAAGCAGAATTATCACTCACAAGACTCCACAGCTTAGAGGGAGCATTGCCTCAAATGCCAGGGCGTTTTGCTTTCCACTCAGGGTCAAAAGTCCTGTGCGGAACCAGTCATAGGTTATCATGCAGTGTCACGACTGGGGGATCCTACAGCAAACAGTACTCAATCTGCAGTTAAAGGCAGATTTCTTGAAGTAGCTTATCATTAGGGTGCAGTATATGGATATGCAGCCAATTTTTTAAAAAACTGGATTTTTGTATAGCTGTGCACAGGAACAATTGTAGCCAGCTAACAGAATCCTGAACAATTTTTACATTAGGAAGCAAGAGACTGAGCTGCTACCCAAGTAGAAGATAATAACATTTGCTCATCACTGTTTCAAAGGGCAAAAGCAACACTAGCTGCAATTAAAGTGAGGAAACATTGAAACAAGTGGGTTTTCCCCAAGTGGTTTTGATATTAGTTCAGTGGTAGAGCATATGCTCTTTATGCATGAAGAACCAGGATGAAGCCCTAGAGATATACCTAAAAAAACCCTCTATACCCTAGACCTTCATTCCCCCTGGAAGCCCAAAAGTAGCCCATTAAGAAATAAGTCTAGTTCATCAAATGTATCCCCAAAGTAAGCCTGATCTTTTAAACATCAACATGGCACTGCTGAGAAGGACTGGGAAATATGAGAATGAGTAGGCAGTAGTATGCCAAATATGCCCATATCCAGGGGTCATTTCCTGTGGGAGCGCACAGGAGCGGAGCTCCGGCTGTAAGGAGCCCAGGGGGTGGGAACATGCAACAAGCCCCACCCCCTGCTCCCAGCAGCCCTCAGTCGGGCCACGAGGAGCAAGAAGCAGCCAGGTAAGTTGCAGAGCCCCCCCCCGGCCCGCCTTCAGGTACAAGCTCTCCCTCCTCTGTGAGGACAGATCTGTATGTCCCCCCCCAATAGCTAGCAATCCAAAATAGTCCAGTGGAGCCTGAGTGGTGGGTGTTGCCTTCTGACACACTTCCGGTGATGTCAGGGGGTGTGGCGTATGCAAATAAGTTATGCTAATGAGCTCCTGCGCCTCTTTTTCTACGAAATGACCCCTGCCCATATCTAAGAAAGATACAGCAGGCCAGCTAGGAAAGTACCCGGGCTTGCCACTCTGGGCTGCAGCTGCTACTTGGAGGCCCAGTAACACCCAGAGTACTTGTCTCCATCTTGTTGTCACCTGTGCCCATTTCCAAAGTGGACTTCGTTTCTTTTCCCCACTGACCGAAAGGTTTTGACTAGTATTGATCTATCCTAGCTCAGAATAAAAGGAGCAATTCAAGCCAGAGAAGAGAGGCTATACTAAGTTAGAGAAGGTGTCTTGTCACGAGCTGCCCAAACTCTCATGGCCTGAGCAAGGAATTTCGCTAAAAAGAATGTATTTGCTGGCCTACGATCCATTAAATTTTTTTGTAACAATAAAGTCTGGGGGAGGCTCATTTCACTGGGGCACAAGTGGCTTGATCCATTTCTCTCCAGCCTCCTTATGCCACTGACATTCAAATAAAACATGCTTCACAGTTTCTGTGATCCCTAAGCCACAACCACAATTATCTATCGGAAAATTGGTGTACCTAATATATGACATTCAGAGATCACACACAGTAGCACATTTAATTTTGTAAGCATAATTGCTCATCTGCATCGTGGAACTGTAAGGCTAAACAATTATTTTGGGATTGTAAAGAATGGTGGGATCTGCATATGCAGAGAAGAGCAGACATGCCTAGCCTGGCAGAGAGCACTACTGATAAAAATCTTCATAATCAACTGCTCGATAACCTTACAGGCTAAGGGCCACCCTAATGCAAAAACAACTTTCTCTGTGCACTGTATAACATTCAATTTTTCTATTATTGCCTGACTCCATAAACTGGAGAAATTACCTCGTTTCACATAATAAAATACACTATTATCTCCAGAGAACATTATTTTGAGTTTCAGGGTGCATTCAGACGGCTCTTTAGATCTGTGCGAGGCACGAGTGCCTCATGGATTTAAATGTAATGTCCAGAGATCAACATCTGGGAAACGTCCGTCTTTCATGAACATCCCGTTTTGCCGCGCTTTGGAGGCGTACTAAAAAGGTACTAGCTAAAATCTGGAATTTTCGGTTCCGATGGGCCAATTGCACGCTTGCCCCCGTCTGATCGTTCCAGCACGCAATTAAAAAATGGCGCCCGTTCGGGATGGTCTGACGTCAGACCATCCCAAACGGGCATCATTTTTAAAAAATCTTGATTCTGCACATCCGTGGATAAACAAGGATGCAATATCACGCCTATGTGCATGCACAAAAAGTTTTTGTAACCCCTCCACCTCTCGTGCCTCCTTCAGTGGACGCTGTCTAGAGAATCCACAGCAGAAGCAGCGCACAATAAGGCGATTCCCCCGGGGGACATCTGGTCGTGCGAGGACGGATTTAAAAGATTGGGATCAAATTTGAGCCGGCATAATGGCGGGATTAGCTGCCCATCTGAATGCACCCTCTGATTTAATACCAGTATCCAAGCCCTAGACTGTCATTCCATCTATTGGTACCTTCCAGACTGGACTACTGCAATGTGCCCTAAAAGGAGACGGCCCATCACTCAGTTCTTTGAGGAAGCCTGCTTGGCTGCATCATTAAATTAAACCTATTAACATGATAAACCTACAACATTAAACCTATAACATGAAATTAACTAAAAATTACTAAACATTTAGCTGCAGTCAGTCCCTGAATCAAAATCCACATCAGCCAAACAATAAACCAGACTCATCTGAGCAACCGCATCATTTGCTTTTGTACTCGGACACCGCTAGACATTTTTATTAATTCAAAATGTTAACAAGTTTGCCTTTAAACGGCAAGTCTTTCTGCAAACTGATAGGGGGAGTGCACGTAGAAGAAGAAGAAGAAGAAGAAGAAGAAGAAGAAGAGAGGAGATTGGATTTATACCCCGCCCTTCACTTGGAGTCTCAGAGCGGCTTACAAACTCCTTTCCCTTCCCCTCCCCACAACAGACACCCTGTGAGGTGGGTGGGGCTGAGAGAACGCTGACACAAACTGCTCTTTTTCAAGGACAGCTGTGCCAGAGCTTGTGACTGACCCAAGGTCACATCAGCAGGTGCAAGTGGAGGAGTGGGGACTCAAACCCGGTTCTCCCAAATTAGAGTCCGCACACTTAACCACTACACCAAACTGGCTCACATTTGGTAAACGAATACAGATAAAAATAAGGTGCGATCCTGTACTTATCTATATCGCGAAGCTGTTTCCATAATTTCAAAGCAGTGTACAGATTTTTAAAAAAATGAAAATTGGGGAAAACGTTAAACGATTAAAACACAGCAGTGGCAACAATGCCTGACCTGGACAGGCCACGCTACCCCTGATCTCACCAGGTTTTGGAAGCTAAGCAGGTTGTCCCCAGTTAAGACCTGGATGGGAGACCACCAAGGAATAAAGGGGTTGCTATGCATGGGCAGGCAATGGCAAACTACCTCTGTTCATCTCTTGCCTTGAAAACTCTAAGGGGTCGCCATAAGTCGACTGTGACTAGAGACACTTTTACCACCACCACCAGCAGCAACAAGGCAAGAGCCAGCGGTTAATTGCTCACAGGCTGTTCTGAGCAAAAGATTAGGCACTAACACAGATTTTCACTGAACGGGAATCCCCAGAGTTCTTGGGAATCGCAGATAAGGCCTTGCTTTCTGTGTGGGTAACCTGCCCTCTCTGATGCAATTTACAGCATGGCCTCTGTCGCTGATCTTCAATCGCAGGGAGATTCATATGGGTCTAGACAGTCTCTGAAATACTGAGGACCAAACAACCTCTGAGCTTTAATGGCTAAATGTTTGTCAGTCTGTGCAGGGCATTTTGTGAACTATTTATGCATTCATCACTGTATTTTGCCCCTGAAGTTCTTGTAAAAAGGTGTATTATGTTGAAAGCCTGACTTCATAAACCACATAATGACCATCCTTTGAATCATTTCCCAAACTGAATCCTCATCCAGAAAATTACATGCTCATAAGTGAAGAAGGCATCAGCTGAAATCCTGTCTAGTGTGAGCAGAGCAGGGCTTGCAGAAGTAAACTCTCGATGCCCCCGTCCTGCTTCAAGCTGGTATCATCCTTGAAACTGTGGCCCCCGGAACAGTGCAGGGCGCAAGAAGATGCGGTCAACCTCTAAGACACCAGGTTTGCCCATCATGTTTTAGAAAGAAAACTTCTCACCGTTCATTGCTATATGAGATACGTTACTAAAGACTGGCACCATAATAGGACAACCAATTTTATTAACAGAGATTTCATTGAGATTCCGTAGACAATGACAAAATGTTCTGGATTACACTGTAACTCCTGGCAGTCGTCATCATAACAGGAAAAACCAATGGAGTACCTACAAATATCGGCCCGCTGTTTAGCAACCAACTGAAAATGGAATCAGCATGAGATTGCAAATGGATATTCAGCATCTACACAGGGTAACAACAATGGCAGGGAAAGCAAGGGAAGCACGAACACGGAACAGAAGACCAAGCTGCCAATTTATCGTGTTGCCCTCTAAGACGGTTCTCTAGACAAGAGCCGAGGACTCCACACTTACCAGCTTGCTTTTGACCAGTTTTTCTATTGCACTGACAAGATCCGCAGCAGTGGGGACATCGGAGGTGCTCTGTCGAGCAGCTAGCAAAGAGGAAGACTGCAAGACACCAGTGTGCAAAGGAACAGCAGGTTAGCAGGGATGAGAAGGAATTAGGGAAGCCAAGAGGCTAGCTGTCTGAGGTCACACGCTGGGACACAAGCAGGGACACACACACACACATGGCAGGAGCATGAAAGATCAGGGGAGGCTGTCACACGCAAAAGGGCAACACTCGG